AAAAGCCACTTGAATTCCTCATGAGCCAGTTATCTCTCCCCACACAGCCGATATCACAGTAAAACTTAAGATGAGAGAAGTTCATCATATCAAAGTAGGAAATTACTGTGGTTTATGCACCCAGAGAATAGCCAATGACAGTGCTTACTGTCAAGTAAGGCCTTGTAGCAGTTATGCCTTTCCTTCATTCCCCTAGAGTTTCCTCAAGAATTGGCAAAGGTGACTCCTGAAGAGTTTTTGTTTTAAAATGGCTAACAATATACACTTTCATGAAGCCTTACGTAAGGCAGGCATCTTCATTTACAGTCATGCTCATCATCCAGACTGGCCTCTTACTGTAAACAAACCAAACAGTCAGAACTACAGACTAACACCTCTGATTTAGCCACACCAAAATGAGCAGGGCTGGCCCTGCAGGCAACAGAAATTACCTGCTATTAGATTCTGTGGTTAACAGTGCTCTACTGCTGGCACCCACAGAACCAAGGAATTGGCTAGAGAGTGCTGGCTCTATAGTAACTCAATATTTGGACTCTTCTCTCCAAAAATGAAAATGAGACACATATGAGAAGCAGCTTACACAGGAAGAGAAGTCTAGCTCCAATAGATGTCTTCCTTAGAAACACAGAGCTCCCAATAATGTTGACACACCAGATACTCCAATTGTATCCATCACTATTTTTCTTGGCAGTTCTGGCCATTAGCTGAGACCAGAGAGTCTAACCACCTTGTTCACAATCTGAGCACAGCAAATAGGGAATGCTTTGGCTCTTTTTTGACTGTCTGAACTACGCTGTCAGAAGAGAAATACAGTAAGCCTTTCACCACCTTATCCCCATGTACAATCCTGCTTTTGAACAGGGCATAAGTCACAGATTTGGTCCTCAATTCTTGCAGAACAGACTCCATCTTGTTGCCCTCAGAGAAGGTTTGTTATAAGAATTCTTCCAATATTTCTTTCAGCTTACTCAGAGCGTGACCTCTGAAGATTGAACAAAAAATACAAGCTACCTCTGCCCCACAACAAACAATCATCTCTAGCATGGGTATTTTCAGAACATGCTGGAGAAAAGCAGTCCTGCTTTGTCTTCCCTGCAGGCTGTTTTTTTTTATTTTTTAAGAATATGCTCACTTTTCCCAAACATTCGTAGAAACTTTCATTCAAATCAGCATTTCAATTGAAAAGCCAAGAACAATTGTATAGCAGCTTCTAAGGAAATACTGAAGATTCACTGTGTTGTGTGCTTACTGTGTAACTGTCCAAACCTTACAATGCTACATTTCTCTTTTGAGTGAAAAATCCACTAAGAGAATTATGATGGCCATCTTCAACTTTTCCATTCAGACATACCACATACATTTGTCCAATGCTAGTCCCCTGTGACTGAAAAAAGGGAAACATCACTTCCATATTCAAGAAAGGGAAAAAGAAAGATCCAGGGAACTACACGCCAGAGAGCCTCACATCTTTGCTTTTGAAGACCATGGAGCAGATCCTCCTGGAGATCTTACAGTACACGTGAGATAAAAAGGTGATCTAAGACAGCCAGCATAGCTTTACAAAGGGCAGATCCTGCCTGACCAATGGTGGCCTTCTATGATGGAGTGATGACACAGGTGGAAAAGTGGAAAAAGCAAGTACAACTACTGTCACCTACCTGGACTTGCGCAAGGCCTTTGCAAGGCCTGGAGCACATCTCCTATGAAGAAAGGTTGAGGGATTTGAGCTTGTTTAGCTTGGAGAACAAAAAGCTCCAGGGAGACTTCACTGCGTCCTTCAAGTACTTGAAAACAAATTACAAGCAGGAGGGGAACGGACTTTTTGCATGATCTGATAGCAATAGGACAAGGGGGAATGGTATTAAACTAAAAGAGGGGAGATTCAGGTTAGATATTAAGAGGAAATTTTTTCTCAGTGAGTACTGAGGTGCTAGAACGGGTTGCCCAGAAAGGTTGTGGATGCCCCATTGCTGGAGGCATTCAAGGCCAGGTTGGATAGGGCTCTCGGCAGCCTCATCTACTGGTTGTCAACCCTGCCAATGGCTGGGTGGTAGGAACTGGATGATCTTCAACCTAAGCCATTCTATAATTCTATGATTTTGTGATGTTTTTCCACCATCTGTAACAAATGCTCATCCATCTTAATTTTACCAGAATTGGAATAAAGGGCTTTCAGTAACACAGTAATGCATATCCAAAAAATAATGAACTTCTCCAAGAACTCAAGTCTCCTTTAACCCTTGTGATTTCCTCAGAAAATACCGTGAACGCTCAACTTGTTTTCAGTCTCAGACTCCAATCTGAAGTACTGCTTGCACTGTTTGTATCAAACATTAAGGCAGAAAATTACATATTCCTACAGACAGTGCCAAGATACACCTACAGGCAATTCCGTAACTACCTGTATCTGAGACCACTTGCCCAGTGCAAACACCAAAGCTTTCTTCATAACTGCTCTTGCAGAACACCAGAACAGTCAAGTCAAACATGCAGCATCAATTCAGAAAAGTTCTTAAGCACTCCTAAACTTCACGAAATTTAAACAAACGTTTTCAAACCATTCTTCAGAGAAAGATGAACAAAAGCACACACTTTTTGAACTGTTTCAGAAGTTCTTGTGTTATTAACATGAAATTTCACATCTGTAGATAGAAGATAATCAAAAGAATTCTTTTCTGGACACCTTACATCAGGATTTTTGTACTTTGGGTAATTGTTTACGACTACATTCCATTAAGAAGTGTACTGAGTTTCACTGGGATGGAGTCAACTTTCTTAACAGCAGCCTATGCAGTGGTGCGCTTTGGATCTGCAGCTGCAATAGTGCTGATAACACATCAGTGTTTTGGCTATTGTTGAGCAGCACCTGCAGTCAAGGCTCTCTCTTCTTCCTCACCCACACTGTCCCCACGGCAAACAGGCTGGGGATAGGCAAGAGGTTGAAAGGGGTGGGCTGAAACAGCTGACCCAGATTGGTTGAAGGGATAATTTCATGCTATCCACCATCAAACTTAGCAATAAAAACAGGGTAGAGGCTTTTTTGTTGCTGTTTACAAGGTTGCTGTTGTTCAGGGACAGGCTAGGCCAACTTTCCGCATGTGGAAAGTGGTGAGCCAATTCCCTTTGCTTTCCTTGTGTTATTTCCCCTCCTTCTCCCAACCTGCCTACACCTATTATACCATTTTTATCTCAAATCATGAATCTTCTCACTTTTGCCCTTCTTATTTTCGCGCTCTGTCCCAGGAGTGTGGGGTGAAAGAGACACTGAGTGCTTTGCTGCTGTACAGGGTGAACCTACAGCAAGTCGTACAGAAAACCCATGCCAGGTTACTGTACTATACACTTCTTGGTTTCTGATGTAAAACCTACTGCCAGTATTCAGTGTCTGCAAGATTCCATCATTTCTGTACTTATTTATATGGCACTTAAAATCCAAGTAGCTAAGCTGTAAATAGATAGAGTATATTTACTAAATTATTTTACTGATAGGTATTGAGGTAGAAAGAAACTATAGGAAAACATTTTCAGAATTGATTAGAAGTATTGGCCTTACTTCTAGAAGGAATATTTGCACACACCTGCCTCCTTTTAATAGGAACCTGGAGGTTTCTCAGAGCTAGAAAACCAGCTTTTTTTTATCAGCCTGAGGGATATACTGACCTCCTTACCACTGCCTCTCCAATTACACAACTGCCTCTCCAGTGGCTTGCCAGCAACAACTTCCCTATTTTCAGAGCCACAGACCATTAATCTGATGTGAAACGCCAAGCACTGCTGAGAAATTACCATCTTTAATTGAAATCACTGAAAGCCAGATTTGCTCTTTTGAGAAATTCCTGTGTTGTGTAACACCTCAGACAAGGGGAAAAATGCTTCCAAGGTATCCCACTCTCTAGACAGGTCATCTGTTTCTGGCAGTTCAAGGTCTGGTCAGGACCTGACCCAATGATTCACTTAGTCGTAGTAAGTAGTCAGCACATACTTGGCCACACTCAGGATCAGCAGATGTGTGGGAACAACTCTGAGCACCCGTATCTATCTTCCTTCCTTTAAGGAAGTCACACTGCTCACAGCTACCATGTTAGAAATGCTAAATAATTAACTAAAAGACAATCTATTCAGTGACTCCCTCTAAGCCTTCCATCACCAAATGCTTTGGCATTTTGACATGTAGAAACTACATTAGAAAAAGTTATAAATAAATTCTTAAGAAAGGAGAAGTACTGCAGAAATATAGTACGTGCAGGACAAGTAAGGACATGTGTAAATGATTCCTCCTTCTGCCTTTTATAATAACATCCGAGCATTTCACAAAGCTCAGTACAATATCTATTTATGCTCCCAACAACCATGCTCAAGTGCAGAAGAATAGTATTGTTATGTCATTTTACTAATATAAAAATGAGGTATTAAGCGACTCACTGAAGATTTCTCAGTAAGTTTTAAGAACACAATCCAGATGTCCTAGGTTGCAAGTAAACTGAAGAACCTTGAGGACATTTGATGAACAGAAAGCAAGGTGACTAGCCCACTTATCAGGCTTAGAACTGTAGCTTATGCTTTCATAACATACTGGTCAGAGACATGCTGATTCCTTTCTAACACAGTAACAGAGGGAATCACCTGATACCTTTAAACAAAATATTTTCTTCAAAACAAGCGTCAAAATGTATTGGGTTCAGGCTACCTCTGAAATGAGGCAATCGCAGACTCTCAATTTCTCCCCTCCTACACCACTCCTTTCCCCACCTACAAAGTAAGGAATTAAAATATAAGTTTCCCAGTAATTGCATTTGTCTTTGTTTCTCCTTTTTGTTTCTTCTTCTGTCATTGCTGTGGTATGTGGCACATTGCACTACGATCAGCTTTAGTAGAACAGGTCAAGAAAACTGATGAACCTAGCTGTAAAGGATAGGTTGAAAGCGTGACATGAGTTTCTGGCATGTGACTAAGTAATCCCAGTCACAATGATCTGCAGAGAAATATGAAAGGTATCTTACCACTGTGAAAGTCTCCAGTTTCTGTTCTTGTTTTTCTGTCTTCTCCAGTGGTCTGTATCTCCTGCAAAAACAGATGGAAGATAAAGAAACTTACCAACTAACCTAATTTTTGTTTACTTTAGTGATCTCTCCTTACAGGGGATGATATCTTAGAACAGATTTAAGTGAGAGTATCGCATGTGTAGTCAAGAATGGATTTAATAGCAAGTTTTAGGCAATTGCCTAAGCTTGTATGGCAGTGAAGATAAACCCTGTAAAAACTGGTATGGGCATCTGTCAGCACACGTTGACCAAAGCAGCAAATGGATGAAGGATGCCTATTTACACAGAATGGTCTCATGCTTTAAATTCAATCTAGTCAGCACACTAGAGTAGTACCTTACATTCAAGTACCTGAGCTGTAAATAAAGATAAACCTTGGATAATGCAAACTGTTCTACCTAGAAAAGCAAGAGGGCTGTAGGTGCAACAGATAAAGTAACTTGCAAGTCACTAATTCAATCTCCCTGAACACCAGCGTAGTTCCAGCATGATCATCCTCTAATAAGCAACATCATTAACTCAAGAGCACTAACTGAGCTGAAAAAAAGGGAAGCTCAAAGAGTGACGCCAGCACTTCACCCACATGACAAGGCCTTTGCTGATTTCCATAGAAATTTTAGAGTAATTCTCCCCCAAAGTTAAGAACACACAATTACACAGACAGCCGCATGCCCCTGTCCATACGCTGATGGATGGAAACTTGATTTCCTCATTTCATTGGTGGAGAAAAAATAAAGGAACAGAATTAATAGCTACATTTTGTCCTCTTTTCTGCAGCAAGAAGTCAGCCTGCAAATTCAACTTGCAGGATGTTATTCCTAATTGCCACTTAAGGCACACTGGTCCTTGTTTGCTCAGGAATAAGATCTGTTCAGCAGCCTCAATCTAACCCCAGAATTATTACATCACAGTTCTGAACAAACCAGTCACTGAAACCAGCCTCTCCTAAGCCAGTACAAATGGTTTCCCTTTGCAAGTTGAGTTCTTCCTTCTGCATTAGAAGATATGTGACTATTTCTGTTTACGCATTTTGAAATCACATTTTCCCAAAGATTACAGCGAAGCAAGGAAGTCCTATCAGAATCACAGGTTCTTATTTTTTATTTTAAAGCAATGTAGAAAGTTCTTAGTTGCTTCTGGAAGAGCCAGGTGTTTCCTGAAGCACTTCACCCAGCAAAACCCCCAGAACAAAGGCTCTGACAGCTTAGGTCCTAAAGTTCACTGCAATCTAAACACATATTACTGCACGGCTTGCTGAGTCACAGTTATGTTCAAAATAAAAGAGATGAATGGAGCAATTTAAAATGTGATGCTTCACTGAAGAAATACAAGCATTCACACATGTCATGATGTTAAAGAGCTGTTCTGGGTGTCGAATCTACACAACAAGCGCAGATTTGAGAGCTGAAAATGGAGGGGCAGGAAATCTGGTGAGGGAAGCATACTCACATGCTTTTGGCAGAATACTCATCCTATGGGCCCTATTGGCAATTTGTTCTTTGATGCAAACAAAGACAAGACTTGAGCCTTTATTCCCTTAAATGAGACACAAGAAAGGCCCAAGAACAAGACTGCGTGCATCTCTCTTGTCTAGCGAGCACTTGAATTGAGACTGGACAGTTACTGTTACTGGTAGTTACTGTTCTTATGCAAAAGAATGGGGTCTCTATCTCCTTCCATTAGAACCTGTAGTCTGCAGGTGGTATTTTTAAGATTTTAAAAGATAAACCATGCATATTATTGTACTAAGAAATCCTAGCTATTCTTTTTTCCCCAGCATAGCACACTCCCTGCTAAACATCAGTTTTGTTTTCCCTCAAGCCAAGTTGTGGGAGAGATTCCTTTCCAACTTCAGTGGAAAACTAAAATCTGGAAATCAAACGAGTGGAAGTTTACAACTTCAAATATAGATATACAGATTTTCTTCCCTGATCAGTGACTTCTGACAATTTCCACTCTTGTGAACTTCACAAAATATTGATGACTAAAGTGACAGATAAACATAGAAGTCCACTCTTAATGTAGCCTCAGGTATGAAATATGATCACTGCATGAAATTATTTAAGTTAGAATTGTACTTCTTGTACTTTGAAGGCTGTTTTGAAGACTATTTTAAAGGACAAAGAAACAAGCAAAAAATTGCAGTCAAAAGTCTTTGTTTTGCACTACTGTACCATAAAAAAGACAAAGTAACCAAGACAGCTACAAAACATATGTGAAATTCACAAAAAAAACACAATGTTTTATTGGATATTGGAAAGGTTCTTTCTTCCCAAACATTATATCTATCAAGTTTGACCAAATGAGATGCAATACCTTTAAGAAAAAAAGGAAAAAATTTATAAAGGACATCTCTCTATAACTCACTATCTTCTGATCCTCCATTTTCTGCTCATCCTGTGTTCTATGACATACTATTAAAGAAAACATTATGCAGGAAATAATGACTCTAGGGAGACAAAAGGAAATTAAGAGTAAATGTACAACAGTTAAAAGGAACCTTATTTTCTTTGATAATATATAAGTGAAATACTGTAGCTTGAAGTCTGCAAATGTTTAAGATAATTTCTCAACAAAAGGAAAAGGTCAATTCTTGTATTTGTAGGTTAAAGTGATTTTGTATTTTCGACAAAAAAAAAAAAGACCCTCAAGTAGGAAATAATGATGTAACTTTGCAGATGAAACAGACACTTCAGGAACAGTGGCCCATATCCCTTGGTAGCAAATCAATGGCTGAGCGGATGAAGGTGATGTGTATGGATGAAATGCCATTAAATACCCCCTCAGAACCTTAAAAAAAAAGCCAGAGATATGGAATAAAGAAATCACGGAAGAAATAAGAAGTAGATATTCAGGTATCACACCCCCAGACCTCATATCAGTGAGGAGTAAAAGCACCAAAACCAAACACAAGCCAAAAGAAAAGTAGCAGGAGTCGGCGCTCCCCACAGTTTTACAACTTTGGAAAATATACAAGTAAATCAGTCACTTAAATCTCTTCCACACTGAACTCTGATCTCTGTTGCTCAATCCTAGTACTAATGTGACACATCACACACACGAACACCAGAACCAATTACTAATACAACGTAGACCAAAACAGTGGTCCATAGAGATGTGCACCTTAATAGTTCAAGAGAGCAGACCCAGAAGTCCACAAGCTATATAACACTCTGAATAGGAGTCTTTATCCTTGATCAGCTCTCTCTCCACTTCTGAAGAATTAAAAGAAAGAACAAAAAAACCCACAACAATCTATCACTTCTCTTCTGCTGCCTAGTTCTGACCCCTCAACCTGAGGTTTCATAACACCCCTGCAACACAGGAGAGCTCAAACACCAAACACTGCACTCAGTTAATTTCACTGTAGCCCTATGAGTCTTCTAGATCCTAACAGTAAATACAACCTTCAGCACCTCCAATTCTGAGTAAATATCCTAAAGGCAGGTCAGAAGGTGTTAAGTACAGCAGAGTGACAAAGGTCAGTGCTGAAGAAACATGCAGTGTGAGGAACAAGCCCACAGAAGGCAGGGAACCTTCCACCACATGCTGACGTGACCACATACAGAGGTTGTTTACAGTCTGCTGTTATAAAAAAAAAAAAAAGCAAGACTCAGTTGAGAATTTTGGCATTAAATTTTTTTGGACATTTCTTGGTTTTAGGTTTTGGCCTGAGCTAGTGAGCCAAACACACTTCCCTAACTGCCAGCACTCAATTGTTTAGCACCTGGAAAGCAAACTTTGATTTCCTTCACAATTGGCCAAGTCTTAAGATGTTTAGTCCCAGCCTTTTGCCCCACAAAGTCTGCCAGCTCTGGTGTAGCTGATGCAAGATGCGAGCGGCGCTCCTTGTCTGCCACTGCTTCACTTCAACACAACTGCAAGATTGCTGCTTTCCACCTCAGTACTTTATCATTTAATAACATCCCTCAAAGTCAAACTGGCTGCTGTGACGGTTCATTTTGTGTGCTGAAGTTTCTAGCTCCTGCCAGGGAATGCAGTCTTAAAGATACTCAGCAGGATCCAGCTGCTGAGGACAATTCATCTTAATGCTTAAAATCTGCATTTCTTACAAAAACAAAACTTGCATACAATTATAACACAGCACAAGCTCCAGGAGTAAAACTGTCTTCTATCTGGTATGTGCCAAAGATTTTATAGCAAAAGGAATCTGTTGACTTTAGGATTGGGAAACAAAAAAAAAAAAGCTTTAGGACTGGACCAGCTCCTGCACCAGATTTCTGTCCAGCGACACAAGTATGACAGTAACACCTCAGTAGTGCAAAGGATAGGATCCACATTCAGCACTGATCCAATCCAGGCAGGAACTACAGTAAATGAAGAACAGCTGCAACAAGGAAAAAAACGTATAAATGTTGTGTGGTCTTGCTCTTGAAGGCTCTCACAGCAGAAAGCAGGCAATGCAACCAGAGACAGAGCTGGCATGGTCTCAGTTCCAGCCAACACAAGATAGCATGGTTTGAAAAACAGATGAACTCTGGCATTCACTATTAGCTTTAAGTTTTAGAGGACTCAAAGAATTCTGTCCTTTTTTCCTCCCCATATGAGACTTTGTCTGGTTCTGCGGGAGCTTTGAGTTGAACTAAAGCACAGATTTTTTATTTTTTTTTTTTAAAAAAAAGAAGTCCACATGTAAAAAGTCTGCAAGTACCTTCACTCCCCTAACAGTGACCTGTTGTTCTTTTAGTCAGTTATTCCTACTAACCCAACAGCAATCAACATTTTCCTCTCAAAGGCCTAAGACTTTTCCTACTGACCAAAATGGACTTGGAAAACAGGATTACGTTGAGCCTCATGAGACTAGAAAAACAACACCATACTGGTACTACACCTGGTATCTCACTACATGTGAAATCTCTCTTAGAAGTTCCCTGTCAAAAATACCCTGTAAACACAACTGTTAGCGGACTGAGCTATGGGAACTGCTAAAGCACCTTCACTTGGACAATTAGTGTAAAGCAACACTTGGGATTTCCACTGCTTATGAGAATTGCTGCC